TCTATATTAGCGACAGAGTTAGGGCCACAGATACTTTAGGGACACAGAATCGTTACTTAGGGACACAGAATTGTTACTCAGGGACACAGAATTCTTAGTCAGGGACACAGAACTGTTACTCAGGGACACAGAATTGTTAATCAGGGACAGACACAGAATTGTTACTGAGGGACACAGAATTGTTACTGAGGGACACAGAATTGTTACTGAGGGACACAGAATTGTTACTCAGGGACAGACACAGAATTGTTACTGAGGGACACAGAACTGTTACTCAGGGACACAGAACTGTTACTCAGGGACACAGAACTGTTACTCAGGGACACAGAACTGTTACTCAGGGACACAGAATTGTTACTCAGGGACAGACACAGAATTGTTACTGGGGGACACAGAATTGTTACTGAGGGACACAGAATTGTTACTCAGGGACACAGAATTGTTACTCAGGGACACAGAACTGTTACTCAGGGACACAGAATTATTACTCAGGGACACAGAATTGTTACTCAGGGACAAAGAATTGTTACTCAGGGAAACAGAACTGTTACTCAGGGACACAGAATTGTTACTCAGGGACAGACACAGAATTGTTACTGAGGGACACAGAATTGTTACTGAGGGACACAGAATTGTTACTCAGGGACAGACACAGAATTGTTACTGAGGGACACAGAATTGTTACTGAGGGACACAGAATTGTTACTCAGGGACATAGAATTGTTACTCAGGGACACAGAATTGTTACTCAGGGACACAGAACTGTTACTCAGGGACACAGAATTGTTACTCAGGGACAGACACAGAATTGTTACTGAGGGACACAGAATTGTTACTGAGGGACACAGAATTGTTACTGAGGGACACAGAATTGTTACTCAGGGACAGACACAGAATTGTTACTGAGGGACACAGAATTGTTACTGAGGGACACAGAATTGTTACTGAGGGACACAGAATTGTTACTCAGGGCGCAGACACAGAATTGTTACTGAGGGACACAGAATTGTTACTGAGGGACACATAATTGTTACTCAGGGACACAGAATTGTTACTCAGGGACACAGAATTGTTACTCAGGGACACAGAACTGTTACTCAGGGACACAGAATTGTTACTCAGGGACAAACACAGAATTGTTACTGAGGGACACAGAATTGTTACTGAGGGACACAGAATTGTTACTGAGGGACACAATTGTTACTGAGGGACACAGAATTGTTACTCAGGGACACAGAATTGTTACTCAGGGACACAGAACTGTTACTCAGGGACACAGAATTGTTACTCAGGGACACAGAACTGTTACTCAGGGACACAGAATTGTTACTCAGGGACAGACACAGAATTGTTACTGAGAAACACAGAATTGTTACTGAGGGACACAGAATTGTTACTGAGGGACACAGAATTGTTACTCAGGGACAGACACAGAATTGTTACTGAGGGACACAGAATTGTTACTCAGGGACACAGAATTGTTACTCAGGGACACAGAATTGTTACTCAGGGACACAGAACTTTTACTCAGGGACACAGAACTGTTACTCAGGGACAGACACAGAATTGTTACTGAGGGACACAGAATTGTTACTGAGGGACACAGAATTGTTACTCAGGGACAGACACAGAATTGTTACTGAGGGACACAGAATTGTTACTGAGGGACACAGAATTGTTACTCAGGGACACAGAATTGTTACTCAGGGACACAGAATTGTTACTCAGGGACAGACACAGAATTGTTACTGAGGGACACAGAATTGTTACTCAGGGACAAAGAATTGTTACTCAGGGAAACAGAACTGTTACTCAGGGACACAGAATTGTTACTCAGGGACAGACACAGAATTGTTACTGAGGGACACAGAATTGTTACTGAGGGACACAGAATTGTTACTCAGGGACAGACACAGAATTGTTACTGAGGGACATAGAATTGTTACTCAGGGACATAGAATTGTTACTCAGGGACACAGAATTGTTACTCAGGGACACAGAACTGTTACTCAGGGACACAGAATTGTTACTCAGGGACAGACACAGAATTGTTACTGAGGGACACAGAATTGTTACTGAGGGACAGACACAGAATTGTTACTGAGGGACACAGAATTGTTACTGAGGGACACAGAATTGTTACTCAGGGACAGACACAGAATTGTTTCTGAGGGACACAGAATTGTTACTGAGGGACACAGAATTGTTACTGAGGTACACAATTGTTACTGAGGGACACAGAATTGTTACTCAGGGACACAGAATTGTTACTCAGGGACACAGAACTGTTACTCAGGGACACAGAATTGTTACTCAGGGACACAGAACTTTTACTCAGGGACACAGAACTGTTACTCAGGGACAGACACAGAATTGTTACTGAGGGACACAGAATTGTTACTGAGGGACACAGAATTGTTACTGAGGGACACAGAATTGTTACTCAGGGACAGACACAGAATTGTTACTGAGGGACACAGAATTGTTACTCAGGGACACAGAATTGTTACTCAGGGACACAGAACTTTTACTCAGGGACACAGAACTGTTACTCAGGGACAGACACAGAATTGTTACTGAGGGACACAGAATTGTTACTGAGGGACACAGAATTGTTACTCAGGGACAGACACAGAATTGTTACTGAGGGACACAGAATTGTTACTGAGGGACACAGAATTGTTACTCAGGGACACAGAATTGTTACTCAGGGACAGACACAGAATTGTTACTGAGGGACACAGAATTGTTACTGAGGGACACAGAATTGTTACTCAGGGACACAGAATTGTTACTCAGGGACACAGAACTGTTACTCAGGGACACAGAATTGTTACTCAGGGACAGAACTGTTACTCAAAGACACAGAATTGTTACTGAGGGCCACAGAATTGTTACTGAGGGACACAGAATTGTTACTGAGGGACACAGAATTGTTACTCAGGGACACAGAATTGTTACTCAGGGACAGACACAGAATTGTTACTGAGGGACACAGAGTTGTTACTCAGGGACACAGAATTGTTACTCAGGGACACATAATTGTTACTCAGGGACACAGAACTGTTACTCAGGGACACAGAATTGTTACTCAGGGACAGACACAGAATTGTTACTGAGGGACACAGAATTGTTACTGAGGGACACATAATTGTTACTCAGGGACAGATACAGAATTGTTACTGAGGGACACAGAATTGTTACTGAGGGACACAGAATTGTTACTCAGGGACACAGAATTGTTACTCAGGGACAGACACAGAATTGTTACTGAGGGACACAGAATTGTTACTGAGGGACACAGAATTGATACTGAGGGACACAGAATTGTTACTCAGGGACACAGAATTGTTACTCAGGGACAGACACAGAATTGTTACTGAGGGACACAGAATTGTTACTGAGGGACACAGAATTGTTACTCAGGGACACAGAATTGTTACTCAGAGACACAGAACTGTTACTCAGGGACACAGAATTGTTACTCAGGGACAGACACAGAATTGTTACTGAGGGACACAGAATTGTTACTGAGGGACACAGAATTGTTACTCAGGGACAGACACAGAATTGTTACTGAGGGACACAGAATTGTTACTCAGGGACACAGAATTGTTACTGAGGGACACAGAATTGTTACACAGGGACACAGAATTGTTACTCAGGGACACAGAATTGTTACTCAGGGACACAGAACTGTTACTCAGGGACACAGAATTGTTACTCAGGGACAGACACAGAACTGTTACTCAGGGACACAGAATCGTTACTCAGGGACACAGAAACGTTGAATTAAAGAATATGTCAGACAACACGCAGAGGAGTGTCAGAGGAGGCCATGTTTTAGGAGCGAACAGACGTGGCAGAAGAGGAAGGGGTCGAGGCAGCACTAGTCGCAGCCAGAGGCCAGTGCTCCCCGGTGTCATCCAGCGGTCGTGTCTCCACCGACAACCCTGCCGTCATCGATTGGTTGGCTCGGTCGTCTTCCTCTTCCCAGGTCACCTCTGACACCTACAGCCAATGGTCGGTGGGTACGTCAGACACAACCGTTAGTTGGCATGGCCCGGGAGCAAGCCCACTGAAATCACGTGTCCTCTACCTGCCCCTGTCCTTTGGTGTTCCCTCACCAAGCGAAGTATCGCATGCTGTGGGCTCAGCCCCACTGTACAGTGAGGAAGAGCTAACAGAGGGCGGTCAGGAACAGGGGGGAGACATCCGCCTCTTCAGCAGCCAGGCGAAGAAGTACTGGCGAGGAGAGTGGCTCGGTAGCCGGTCTAGAGACAGGTCTGTCTCCTGACCCACACGCAGCCGAGGGGGCTAGTAGTGAGGCGGAGACCCTAATTGATGATGATGAGGCTGATCGCACTTGGCAGCCTCGTCGTCATCAGGCAATTGCTTCCGCATCATCAGGAGAAGAGGGTGCCAGCTTGGCAGCGAGCAAAACAGTCGGTGGGTTGCCCAGGAGGCAGCAGGGTCGCAGCAGTGTCAGTGGAGGCAAACGGCCACGGAGTAGAGCACCAGCTCCACTGCAGCCTACCACCACGGCCAGTAGTGGTGCCGGTGTGCACGGAGGAGGTAGCAGTCAGCCAGTGAGGAGTAGCGGGGGCAAAGTTTCCTACTCGGCGGTGTGGCAATTCTTCGTCAAGCCGCCCGAGGAAGTAAAACGTAGCCGTATGTCGACTATGTGGCCAGAAAGTCAAGCGTGGCCAGGGGGCCCATGTCTCCATCGCCACACTGTGCCATGTGCCACTTTCAGGTCTCCTCACACTGCTGGTGGGTTCCATTTTGTCATAGGGTGCTGGCAGATTACGGGCCTCCCATTGCTGCTGCCAGGCCCGTAATCTGCCATGGGCCCCCGTATCGACTCCTCATGCTGCTGCCAGGCCCGTAATCTGTCATGGGCCCCTGTACCGCCTCCTCATGCTGCTGCCAGGTCCAGAGTGTGTCATGGGTCCCTGTACGGCCTCCCATTGCTGCTGTCTCCATCGCCACACTCTGCCATGTGCCACTTTCAGGTCTCCTCACACTGCTGGTGGGTTCCATTTTGTCATAGGGTGCTGGCAGATTACGGGCCTCCCATTGCTGCTGCCAGGCCCGTAATCTGCCATGGGCCCCTGTACCGCCTCCTCATGCTGCTGCCAGGTCCAGAGTGTCTCATGGGTCCCTGTACGGCCTCCCATTGCTGCTGTCTCCATCGCCACACTGTGCCATGTGCCACTTTCAGGTCTCCTCACACTGCTGGTGGGTTCCATTTTGTCATAGGGTGCTGGCAGATTACGGGCCTCCCATTGCTGCTGCCAGGCCCGTAATCTGCCATGGGCCCCCGTACCGCCTCCTTATGCTGCTGCCAGGTCCAGAGTGTCTCATGGGTCCCTGTACGGCCTCCCATTGCTGCTGTCTCCATCGCCACACTGTGCCATGTGCCACTTTCAGGTCTCCTCACACTGCTGGTGGGTTCCATTTTGTCATAGGGTGCTGGCAGATTACGGGCCTCCCATTGCTGCTGCCAGGCCCGTAATCTGCCATGGGCCCCCTGTACCGCCTCCTCATGCTGCTGCCAGGCCCGTAATCTGTCATGGGTCCCTGTACGGCCTCCCATTGCTGCTGTCTCCATCGCCACACTGTGCCATGTGCCACTTTCAGGTCTCCTCACACTGCTGGTGGGTTCCATTTTGTCATAGGGTGCTGGCAGATTACGGGCCTCCCATTGCTGCTGCCAGGCCCGTAATCTGCCGTGGGCCCCTGTACCCGCCTCCTCATGCTGCTGCCAGGCCCAGAGTGTCTCATGGGTCCCTGTACGGCCTCCTATTGCTGCTGTCTCCATCGCCACACTGTGCCATGTGCCACTTTCAGGTCTCCTCACACTGCTGGTGGGTTCCATTTTGTCATAGGGTGCTTGAAGATTACGGGCCTCCCATTGCTGCTGCCAGGCCCGTTATCTGCCATGGGCCCCCGTACCGCCTCCTCATGCTGCTGCCAGGTCCAGAGTGTCTCATGGGTCCCTGTACGGCCTCCCATTGCTGCTGTCTCCATCGCAACACTGTGCCATGTGCCACTTTCAGGTCTCCTCACACTGCTGGTGGGTTCCATTTTGTCATAGGGTGCTGTATGGCCTCCCATTGCTGCTGCCTCCACCGCCACACTGTGGCTCCACACTCTGGTTTTGGCCCCGTGACTGCCCAAATGAGTGAAGTGTGCGGTGATTCTAAGATCGACGGCACTCATCTGCATGTCATACTGACTGACAGTATTATTTCTCTTCCCCAGCAGACTCCAAGGGCATTTAAATTAAGGTTTCAGTGTTCTGCACTAATATAATGGCTCTCTGAAGCCTAGAAACACCCTTTTTATAAGTTAAATTCGCAGCGAATATATTCGGATCGAATCGAATTTATTCCTCGAATTCGCCGAATCAGCCGAATCGAATTTTTGAATACTTCGCTCATCTCTAATCCTGACACTTGACGTGTTTTGTGAATCAACATTTACTTCCTCAGGAGATAGTAATGTTTCATAGGATATCTGTGGTGAAGCCATGTCAGTTAGTCCAAAAAAAATTAAAAGATTAATAATAATTATCCTGACATGGACTCTCATAAATCCCAAAAAGCATTAAATATCATAAAATATACAACATATGTACCTAAATACAACAAAATAATCAAAGCAAATGAAACAGGTAAAAATGGTTTTAAAAAGTTTTAATACAAGTCAGCAAAATCAGCTGCCAAATATTATTATAGAGAGGTTTCCTTAATGATTAGATGGTATTCTTTACTATTTAGTCATTTTATTACTACTAGTTAAATAAATATATTTATCTAAAGGGTATAAATTGGGGCAGTGATCATAGTACTGTTTCAGTATAAAATAAAATTTAACTTTGCTATATTATGTTTCAAACTAACTTTTTGAAGTTGTCAATTAAATTTTGAGAAGTGCATAGTAAGAAAATGATTTATTTTGTAATATTTTCATTGAAATAATTGATCTACACAGACTCCATTGTTGTACATTGTTGGTTGACAAGAACATTAAATAAACAATTTGAACAGATTTTCCTGCTTGATTTATGCTCAACACACATTGATAACGTGTAAAAAAGAGTCAGCATGTATCCATGAGTAAAATTTAAGAAGTATCACAAAACTTGTCCGGGAAGCTCTGGGGGGGGGGGTAAATTCACTCAAGGCCTGACAAGACCACTTTATGGTACTGTTCTATTCATGTATTGGAAGTCCAGAGATTAATAATAGCGATACTTTCTTGTGTTTAGAAAGAGCTGCACACATTATTAAATATGGTTTGCCATTGATAGTAACTGGCTATAGTAAATCACTTTTTACTTTCAATATTTGTATTACTTTCACATAAAGGCAAAGCCCACAGTAGTACAAGAATCAACCGTTGCAGACCCTTATATAAAAAGTAGGAACAAAGAGGGGGGTAAGGCCCCTATCTCACAATATTTTAGTAAATGAGAAATCGAAAGGCAGATATTGGTCAGACTCAGTAGTGCAGGAATTAGTAAATCGATTCCCTAGGCAAACAATAAACAAGTACATATTCCCATGTGATCACACTTCTGGTGGAGAACGTTTCAATGAGCCCTCAGGGGCCCTAGGAATCAAGTCAATCAACAAGGTAAGAGAAGAGAGAGAGAGAAAAAAAAAGAAGAAATAGAAGAAGAGTGGATTTGGACCAAAGAAATAGGAGAACTTCTCAGTACACGCACAGTGACATGCATTAGGTTTCAAAGGAAAGATGCATAAAATTGGCCCACGGATCCAAGGTTTTTTCAAATTTGCCAACCGAATTCAGAAGAATGCGAATAATGTTTTCATGCAGCATAATCCACGTTATTTTTTTTTTCTTTGCCTGTGCAAAAGACCCGATAGATTGCTTCCAAGTTTTAGCAATGGTCACTTTGGTACCAGTAAAATAAACAGGAACAAGCATTGGAGGGGGTTAGGGACACCATCCACCAGGACGTTAAGGAGGGCAAGTTGGGGCGTCTGAGGGACCGACACTCCCATAACTCTCTGCACTAAGGAAAAGACTTCAGAAGCTACAAATCCGTGGGCATTCCCTCCATGCATGGTACATAGGCCCTTGCAGATTACACCCTCGAAAGCATTTTTGCAAACAAATTTATGAGCCATACAGGCAAAATGTATGCTAAATGTCTACTGTACCCTGGACACAGCATGTATGGTGCTTTCTTTTTGGAGGGACGGTCACTTGGGTGCTCACAGGGCTGGAGGAGATGTATAGGCTGCCCACCCCCCAAGCTGACATCATTTCCTCCCTTTACACACAGAGATCCTAGAGCTTCCCACATCTCCTCCAGCTCTGTGAGGACCACAAGCGGCCATGGTTTTGGACTTGACATGTAAGATATATTATGTACTTTTAACATGTGAGTTGTTATAACATTAATAACCTGTTTGCCCATTTCTGTACTTCTTAGATGGTGCTTCATTGTCTTTCCCTAATGGGATCACACAGGAGCGATGGGGAAAACACAAACGATTCGAACAATTACAAAGCTTTCCTGTTCAAATCGCATGCGATTCTTTACAGTGTGATCTGAGCCCATTCATTCTGTATGGGCTCAAAATCGCACCTCAAAGGTATTGGTACTCGGTATCGGTGAGTACTTGACCAAAGTATCAGTACTCATACACACCAGTAAAAAAAAAAGTGGTATTGGTGTAACTCTATTAGCAACTCGTATCAGGTCACTCTGAATTTTTTATTTGGGTTTAGGTGAGGGCTTTGACTAGGCCCTTGATAGCAATTTTGTTTATACACAATAAACCAATAATTAAAAATAAGAGAAGCACGTGTTCATGTTCTTAGTCGGCTCCTGTTTATTTCATATATCTTGAAGACTTCAGAGTGATATATCCCTTCTATAGTTCCCAACTCTGTTCCTTCTTTCCTGGAAGTTTTGGGTTTTCCAGCTCACCTTTGTGTGTTCCTGTCTTCCAGTTAGATTTTCCACAGTGTGATATGATAGTGGGATCCCCTTATAATGGGCAGATGGTGAGCAAACTTGGGAACACTGCACAAAAATTCTGCCAATAGAGTCCCTGAGAAATAGACTGTCAGGGAGTGTAATGTCTTCTTCAGGTGTTTCAACTTATATGACAGCAGTGTGTACAAGAGCTTTTGGAAAGAATTTACAAAGCTTTAAAAAAAATGTGAAGGACTTTGTCCAAGCCTATATAAGAATAAAGCTGGACTGCTGGATTCATCAGTTTTGTCCCCCTATTGACCACAATTGAATGAAGACACAGACCACGTGCACCATGGACTTTAAAAGGCTACAACAGCACTTTTTTAACCATTATTATGAAATAATTGAAAAAATAAATAAATAAAACATTCCGAATAAATAGCATTACCATTGGTGCATTCTTAGAGAGAGTCCTTTTGTGTCTGCTAGCCTAAGCATTGGCTATGATCCGGCCTTTCCCAGGCTGCACCCTGCTAGCTTGAAAACATTTCCTGCCATTCCGAGGGATGAGCCCTGGTGAAGACAAATGATACCAAAAGGGAAAGCATCATACTACCACTTAGCCCCCCCCCCCATTTTGAAACCACCCACTTTTTCACAGAACCACAAAGACCCCCTAACCACCAAGTTGCCATGACAAGCCTTTCTGTAGTATTACCCAGCTGGTGTACTAGAAATGAGGGGGTGGGGTTAAACATGTTTCCCCCCTTGTTCACATTTCTGGAATTTTCAATTTCCAGACAATTAGCACAGCTCTTACTCCTGTGGCTCCTCCCAAGCACTTTACATTAACCTCCAATCAGGTAGGACCTCCCGCACCTATACTGCCACACACATTTGAACTCATTTTTGGGACTATTTCTTCCTCGGTCTTGTAACCCCTCTGTTAATTTTATTCATCTGGATATTTGTTCAGCTCCAGTATTGGAATCTATTGGGATACATCTTGATGGGGGTGCTGCCACTTCATACACACAATTAGCAGGCTTTAGCAGGATTTCAACAAGCTTTGAGTAGCGCTGACACTTAATGACGTCTACAAGAAGCTTGTTCAAAGTAGACACGTGCAGATTGTTTTGTTCCGAATCCAAATTCAGATGAAATTTTCATTATTTGGAGATTCAGATGTATCTGAATTTTTGAATTACAATAGTAATGAATTGAAATGAATCTGAATCAACTAAACAAAATTTTGTCTGAAATTCAAATCAAAGTCAAATTGATTTAGAAAGCAAACAGCAAATGTGAAATATAAACTTATTATTGACTATTGCTGATTTCATTCTATCTATCTATCTATCTATCTATCTATCTATCTATCTATCTATCTATCTATCTATCTATCTATCTATATATCTCTATCTATCTATTCCATCTATCTATCTATCTATCTATCTAAAGTCTATCTATCTATCTATCTATCTATATCTCTATCTATCTATCTATCTATCTATCTATCTATCTATCTATATCTCTATCTATCTATCTATCTATCTATATATCTATCTATCTATTATCTATCTATCTATCTATCTATCTATCTATCTATCTATCTATCTCTAAATCTATCTATCATCTATCTATCTATCTATCTATCTATCTATCTATCTATCTATCTATCTATCTATCTATCTATCTATCTATCTATCTATCTATCTATCTATCTATCTATCTTATCTATCTTATCTATCTATCTATTTATCTATCTATCCACAGCAAGTTCCTATATCATTGATAAAGTCAGTACACAGACAGCAATTTAACAAAGGTAAAGATTTATTTTTTGCGTAAATATTAGCACATTTTCTGTATGCTGAATCAATAGTGTCATTACACATTGTGCAAAATAATCAATAAATTGCATCAAGTTAACCACTAGAGGACCGCCCACAGTACATTTACTGCGACAATGCGGCCCCTGTGCACAAGATCACGTTTATAAACGTCATCCTGTTTACATGGTAGGGGGTGTGCGTGAGGCGCACGACTTTGTTTGGGTACAGCATTGCATGACCGCGCAATTGTCAGTTGAATTATGCAGCACCGAGTAGCAAAAAGAGGCGTGGTCATTAAGGGGGGTAAATCCTCTGGAGGGCGAGTGGTTAATGTGGCAGTTGTTATGGTGACGCCTCGTCTGACAGACCCCTATACCCTGCTGGAACCCCGGGACATGTGCAAGGTTATACCAAGCCCTATGTTTTGCTATTTTGACCCAAAT